TAGGAAGCTCCTGGTTGACCCAGTGACTAACAGAACTTGGAAAATTTTATTTACAGTCATCTACTCCAGAGGGTTGTTGTGAAAATCATTAACTAGAACCTAACACTAGGTTGGAATTCAATAAGAAAGAGCTACAATTAATGATGCGAAAAGGGTTCAAGGAAAACTTTTCTTGTATCTTGCTATATTTTATCTTTCTTTTACCCTTGTAAAATATTGAAGTAGGTATCAAGAAGGAAGATAAGACACTTGTGGGAACCCTAATCAGTCAGTGTATGCCTGGTGTTCAAGGCCACTCTGAGTGTGGGAATCCTAATCAGGATGTTCAAGGCCAAGTTGCCATTAGGCAGATACAGGGACACAGCAGTTTCACTGTATGCACTGCACCAGCATGCCCTCCTATAACCCAAAAGATTGAGGTCACTATTTAGCAGGAAGCCTCTTTTGTCTAAATGAGTATAAAGTATGTTACTAACCAGCCAGTGAGAAGGCGACTTTACAGTCTTGCCATCGAGACAAAGAAGAGACGGATGAAACCCTGCTATGTGAGGCTGCTTTACTAGGGTGTTCTCTTGGGTTTGCTACTGTATTAGCAAGAACTGCTTTGCTGGACTGCTCTAATGGCTCCTTAAAGCAATGGCTACTTGAGCTATAATAAAGACTCTCTTATATATCTACAACTCCTCATGTCTTCTCCATCGAATACCTGGTGTCCAAGAAGGTCCAGTCCCTGGCAGAATGGGGCCCAGACCTCAGAGATGGTGAACCTGCCAAGATGGATGCTTCTGTGGAGCACAAGGAGGCTGGTGTCAAAAAAAAAAAAAAAAAAAAAAAAAAAGCCCAGCCAGCATGGCTCAGTGGTTGAGCATGAACCAGGAGGTCATAGTTTGATTCCAGTCAAGGGCACATGCCCGGATTTCGGGCTTGATCCCCAGTGTGGGGCGTACAAGAGGCAGCCAATCAATGATTCTCTCTCATCACTGATGTTCTCCCTCTGTCCCTCTCCCTTCCTCTCTGAAATCAATAAAAATATCTTAAAAAGCCAAAACTGGTTTGGCTCAGTGGATAGAGCGTTGGCCCGCAGACTGAAAGGTCCCAGGTTTGATTCCGGGCAAGGGCATGTACCTTGGTTGCGGGCACATCCCAGGTAGGGGGTGTGCAGGAGGCAGCTGATAGATGTTCCTCTCTCATCGATGTTTCTAGCTCTCTATCGTTCTCCCTTCCTCTCTGTAAAAAAATCAATTAAATATATATTTTTTAAAAAAACATCTTAAAAAGAAAAAGAAAAGCTGGAGCCTGGAACCAAGACCCCCATTCAAGTTGAGAGCCATGGCTGAGGGGAGGCTGCCAGAAGCAGGCAGCCCCCAGGAAGGAGCAAGCCCTCCGCCCCCCCCCCCCCCCCCCGCAGCCCCCACCCAGCACCCCGCATGCAGGGCAGAGCCCAGTGGGAAACCAGCTGGCACAGAAAGCATGCAGAGTCCCAGGGGCAGAAACAGCGTGGAGCAGGGGGTGAGGAGCTGGGAGGCAGCAGCTGGGCAACCCGCACCACACATTCACAGAGGGAAGCTCGCCCCGTGTTTAGGTCTCTGGCTCTCGTCTTAATTCACAACAAACTAGACTCCAAATATTCCCAGTGGGGACAGAGGCAACGGCCGGTCATCCAACCTCGGGCTGAGCCCCACCAGGGCCACACTCAGCGAGCGGGACCTCTCCCTCCAGCTCAGAGCAGCCTCCGAGGGGCCCGTGGGCCCTGTCTGCGCTGCTCTCACCCATGAAAAATGAGCTCCTTGGGGCTGAGGGCAGGCCCGCTTAAAACAATAAGCTTTCCTGCCCCGGCCTGCTCCGGAGCGTGGTCTGGATGCTTATCAAACGAGTCCCCAGGCCACGCTCTGAAGTTCTGGGCAAGTCCAAACATCAGAGTCAGATCTGTGCCTCCTAGACGCAAGGCTGCGGAGCACGTAGCCTGTCAGGGAGATGCTCGGATTGCCCCAGAGTAAACAGTAACACGAGAGTATTTACATGGAACAGAACTGTGTACCAGCCTGCGTTGGCTCAGCCGGGGGGGGGGATGATAAATTCCTTGCAGATCTCGCTCTCACAGAGCGGTCCTTTGTGGGCTGCGGACACCACCCCCGAGACGGTGCAGACCAATTACCGAGCGAGGCTTGTCATTATGTCGAGGGGGGAAAATGCCGCCCCCCGTTTTGTTTGATTCTGCAGGGTTATCTTACGCAGCCCGCCCCACTCCCTCAGGTGGAACTCGTTTTAATTTATGGTCCAGTCAAGTCCAGATTCTGGTTGGAAGTAAAGGATACCCCTCCCTGCCTCCTCACGAAAAGCAACAAGAGCGCCAGCATCCTCAGGTCCGAGCTTTTTGCTTTCCTTGTCCCTCTTCTAAGAGACCAGACACTGAAGGGTAAAGTGGGGGAGAGCAGAAACACTGAGAAGTTGATGGTAAGATGTCAACTCTACTTGCCCACATCCAGTTTGCCCTACTCACAGCCTGCCCAAGTCCCAGGCAGCCGTCCGGCAGGAGACGAGGTGAAAGGAGCTATGAAGCCATGTTCCACACGGAGTCCACTCCCTGGTCCCAAAGAACAAAATGTTGCAGAAGCATTTGCCCAGACTGTCAGCTTGCTTCTAAGAGGCCAGTGAGATCAACCACAGAACTTGTATAAACGCATAAGAGCATAACCAACGGACACACGGTAGAGGGGGTGCGGGCATGTGCTGGGGGGCAGGGGCAGCTGGGCTGAGGTCAGTGGGGGAAAAGGAAACTTATGTAATACTTTAAACAATAAAGTATTTTTTTAAATCATAAATTAATTGTTTTTCAATCAAAGGCCAAATTTAATCAACTTTATTTTAAACCATTAACTAACCCTCATGTAGTGCCAAAGGGCATCATAACTTTATTTAGTAAGTATGGGCTTAGTGAAATTATCTTATTCAGATGTCTGGTTTTTTTTTAAACTTTTGTGGAATCAATATATACTTTTTAATAATTAATTGTGGTTATATATATATATATATATATATATATATATATAAATTTTTAACTGCTTTTAAGTATTCACATTGCTGTGCAACCATCATCACCATCCATCCCCAGAATGCTTTTTATCTTCCAAAATGGAAACTGTGCCCATGAACTAGATGTCTGGTTTGAGACAGGCCTTGGGCAAAGCCAGCAGCCTGGGAGGCAGCGGCAGGCACCCAGAGAGGTTCACTCAGGGGCTGGCAGATGCAGCAAATCCTCCTACCGTGCCTGATAACTCAGTGGCACCAGTTGCTCTTACCTTCTCCCCTATTCACTCCTGATGCCCAGGACTGCAGCAAAGCTCTAGAACAGGTGTGGAAAGAGTAGAAGTCTGTGTCACTTATACACTTCAGCTTACAAAGTCCCAGCTGGTTCCCCAGCACACAGTCCTTGGTCAAAATGAGAATGCTTCTCCCTCTTTTACAGGTGATGGAACTCTGGCTCCACGGGAGGTAAGACCACGCCCTCCAACCCGCTGCCCAGGGCTCTCTCACCAGGCTGCATGGCCTCTGCCAAGGCAGCAGAGGGATTAGGTGCTATTGCTTCTCAGCTCTTACGGAGAAACAGACCCGTTGGGTCTAACGGTCCAGTGGTCGGCAAACTGCGGCTCTCGAGCCACATGTGGCTCTTTGGTCCCTTGAGTGTGGCCTGGGCAAGTCTATTTTGAAGAAGTGGCATTAGAAGAAGTTTAATTTTTTTAAAAGTTGGCTCTCAAAAGAAATTTCAATCGTCATACTGTTAATATTTGGCTCTGTTGACGAATGAGTTTGCTGACCACTGGTCTAACCAGACTGCTTCGGCTCTCTTCACCACAGCAACCAAATGTCCTTTATGCCTGAAAACAAAACTGAGTCCATCATTTTTCCATCTTTTGGGCATTTATATCGACAGCAAAACTACTCAAAGAAGCAAATTTCTGGAACAAAATTAACACAACCAGATTCAAGAATCAAATGTCAGTTTTAAAAAAAAGAAAGAAAGAAAGAAAGAAAGAGAAAAAGTTGAACTCAATCTCTTTTTTATTTTTAATTCCATAAAATAAATTCACAATATGTGCTCTTATTTGGAAAGACCATAATTTTTCTTGTTAAACAAAATCAACAACAACAAAAAATGTGCTTTATGGATAGAAAGGACCCTATGCTAAAGCAATATAAATACTAAGGATTTACATAAAATTGCCAGAATCAACAAGTGGCTTCTTTTAGTTCACAAAATGACTACATATTTTGATTTCTTTCAAATAAATTCCTCCTGACTGATACCCTTCTCTGTGCTCAAAGGCAATATATTCCCTAAATCTTCAGACTTCCCATTTAAATTCCAAAAAGGATAAACACAATTCCTTGAAGTCATGCCCAACACCACCATTCCATCTCCCTACATAAACATTAAAAAATTAGGCAAATCAGGTTTTTGGACTTATCTCTGGAGTAAACAACAGGTTATCCTAAAAATGGGAAGGCAAAAAAAGAACAACCAGGCTTTGAAGGAGTAATTTTATTTTATCATTCTCCCCACTTTTTAGTCACTTAGTACTTGATTTTTTATCATACACATTTAAAAAAAATGATCATTTGAAAAATGAAAATTGAATACAGACCTTGGAAATAATGAGTCAGGGAAAGCAAATCCTTTTCTGGTTTTGTTCTCAACAATTACAGGTGATTCGACCCTCGGCCATGCCGCTCCACTGATTCAGGGGGTCTTCCCAAGTGCACAAACTTGGTGCAGAGAGGCTCTCGTGGCATTTCAATGAGGACTAGAACAACCACTGGGCAATTATGAACAACCCAGAAAGACTGGCTGTTGAACAAAGAATGCTTCCAATTTTCTAAGCTCTATATCTCCCCTCATCTTCATTGACAAAAAAAAAAAAAAAAAAAAAAAAAAAAAAAAAAAACTTTGTAATGACTGATATTTTTCTTTAAAATTCATGTCCATGAATTCTTACACTGGATCACATGAAAACGCCTCTTCGTGTCTTCCAGAATTCCCCGATATTTTCCTTTATAGCATATTCAGCACAGTTCTTGCACTCTTGGGGAGTAAATCCAATTAGTGCTCTCCCAATGGTACCAATTCCTCGATCACCTGCCAACTTTTTAACTTGAGTTTCTATGTAATGAGGGGATACGTAAGAAAACTGGTCCCCACAAACACGATAAGCCATGTATCCAGACTCTTCTGAGGTCTCTGTAGCTTCATGGTTTCCAAAACTCTCCACGTTGCAAGCTATCTCAATTTTCCCCTCATGGGGAAAAGCCATCGCTTGGACGCCCTTCAGTCCATTTGCATTTGAGCCCCGAATGGCACCAGCAATCTCTTTCCCCAGGGCCAAGTCCTGGGTGTCTATGGTAACGTTGCAGTTCATCACATACGGGCTGGCACCAATGCCTACATCATTGGAAAAGCATGTTAATCAAGCAAAGCAAAACCCTCCTTCTGAGTTTCTATTCTTTAGCCGATTTTAATCTAAGGAGCTTCCTTTACATAACTGTACTTTAAAATAACACAAATATCTCTCATTACCAACTCCAGAATTTTGTAAAAAAAATAAAAATAAATAAATATATATACATATACATACACACACACACTGAGAGAGAGAGAGAGAGAGAGAGAGAGAAAGAGAGAGAGAGAGAGAGAGAGAGAGAGAGAGAGAGAGAGCGCAAGCTATTTAAGCTTAAAGAAATTTTATCTACTCTCAAAGTATCTGATGGTTGTTTTTTTCTAGAATAGCTAGGAGTCCAGAATTTCCCAAATATCAACAGAAAAAGGGAAACACACTTTAGTATTAAATATCATCAGCGGCAAAAAGTCTTAGCTTTCCCTTCATTCATTTCTGAGGATATCTCCACAAGGGTTCGGGCCTAAGGGCTTGGGAGACCAGAATAAGTCACACTCTGTACCCATCCCTTCCTCCCCACACACACCCCTGTTTCCACCAAGTTAGGTGAACACCCAATTCCAGTGAACTTCAACAACAATCCTGGTTAGGGAAGGAGGTCACTAAAAAGTGACAAAAAGCCTTGGAATTGGGGAGAGAAAAAAAAACACTTGTCCCATGAGAATGTGGGCCTGGCAGGGTTTGGAGCACTATGGATACCCACTGAGATACAACCTGTTGGAGGCACCTGTCCCAGCCCCAGCATCCCCAGGACCTGGGACAGCCAAGGCCTCTCTGAGCCCTGTTTTTTTAGAGCCCAGGGCAAATGTCCCTTTTCTTCTTGCCTCAGGAATGGCGCAGCTCAAGTTACACAAATAACCCTGCTCTAATTATAGTTTACATCTTAAGATGGACAACTTGGTTGAATTAGCATTGGCATAAAAAGCTTAGGTTTGCAATTTCTTCACTTTGGGGGAGCCTTATATTTCTGAAAGCAAGGTTGATGAGGGATTGACAGGGGATAAAAGGCTGACCTCATCTTCAGCAGATGACAATTCCTTAGCTACTATTTCAACGTTATTTTACTATCAGAGCTCTTTCTTGCTACTTTCGAACGTATTGTTCGGGATGTCAGTATCCATCAGAGCTATCCTCTGGGCTCACTCTCCTTGAACGGCCATGGATTGGGGGCTTGGCTGCCTTAGCCTGGGCACACTCGCACTAATAGATGCTTCACAGAAAATCAGCACACGGAAACCGCATTTCGTCTTTTTCCCACACGTGTGCACATAATAAAACATTTCAACTCATGAGGTCGGGCCTCTTCCTACTGGGAGTTCTGCAGCAATGAATCAGGTTACAGTATTTCTCTATAATGCTGATTTCACAAAAATTACATTTCCTAACAGTCAATATATCTTTCTCATAATCTCATGCACCAATCACTTACTCTAAATATTTTTGAGAAGTATATCAGTTTCAATATTTCACAGAGCACATTGGAATTTTTTTTTTATTTTTTTTTGTCAATGCTAATGCCATTCATTAATGGAAAACATCCAAGCATGGCTTTTCTCTCTCCTCCGCCCAACTGATGACCCCCTCCAATCTGATAGACACTCCCTATTCTGACTCAAGAACTGGTATCTCTTCACCATTGCTCCAATGACCTCACTCATTCTTTGCTGAAGAGTGTATTTATGTATACACTCTGCTACAGTAAGCACAGCTATTCAAAATACATACTGGGCCTACTGTGCTTGGCTACTTCTAAACTTCGATGTGTCCAATCAGCACTCAGATATCCACATGCAATTTGTCAGCTTGAGGAGTCCTTGATATGGACCCAGGGCCCTGGTGCCCACAATGCGGTGGCGTGGGCCAGTCCCTCCTACGGCCACAGGATCCAGAAGATTCCAAGGCACCTTTTACCACCACATGCCCAAGAACTGTCCCTTTCTAGTTGCATTTCCAAAGGCAATCATTCTTGTTAATAAATGAATTCATTGCTAAAGGTAAATTATTGAAGATAGAAAACGTTCAGATCTTAAGCCCAGAGCACACAAATTTGATGAAAAATATACTTGTCTCCACACTGATTTACTTAATTTTTAAAAACCCACTATTTTAAAAATGCCTTTAAAAGCACATGTAAAAGAAAGGCATATGTAAAAGTTAATGATTTCTTAGAAAAATAAAACCAAACATTAAAAGTAACTTTTATATTCTCTTTTAAATAAAATAAGGTAACCACTTAGCACAGAATGGTCATTTTTCATGTATCCCATTGTTATGTGTTACTTTAAATTCTTCTATTAGACTTTAATTACACAATGATTTAATTTGTTTTATCACTACAGCGTCAGCAGTGAACAAACAAAGACAATTCGATGAATCCTGAGAAGTTCCTGACCTCATTGGGTAGGGGTTCCCTTTTATTGGGGTTAGGAGGCCATGACCCATTTCTCCCTTGGAAGTGGGAGGAAAGGGAGGGAGGGGTGCAGGGAGAGGAGGGGGGAGAGAGGAAGAGGAAAAGAAAACCACTTCTGTCCAAATGCATGCTTTCCCGGCTTTCTCCTTTCAGTCATTTCCAAGTCCAACCCTAACACGGTGCACGAATTCTAACGAATCCTGCAGGCCCAGTGGCTTTATACAAATGCTGAATTTGACGCTTTATGCTCATTAAACTTAGCAAGAATTTTTAAAAAAGGAAAATAATTAATCCCAGCAATTCGTATTTCTAGTGACACGTCATATAATTAAAGTGATTCCACTTTTTGCTCTAACATTAGAAAGCTGATGTGAGCTTGTTTGTCTGCGGCTCGCCCCGCCCCTGCCTCCACAGATTGGCAGGCTGCTCTGCGAATCTCCCCACTCAAAGCTCAAATCCCAGTTCTGTTCCAAGGCAACTGTCACAACGCCCCCCACGAAGGCTAACGACGAAGATGAATCGCTGCTATGATTTCACTTTCCATGTGTTTCGTTCTTTAATAAAAAATTTGTCATTCTAAATATTGGTGTTCACTCCTAGTTAAATACTTTTTTTTTTTTTATCAAAAAGAAAAAGAAACTGAGATTCAGTTGCTATTATTTCCCAAGGAAATATAACAGGCCTGATGTTTTCCTGACAATCCTGCTATTTCCTTGTGTGGAAACACTGTATTTATCATGTACTGCACGGCTGGTGATTTAGATATTGTAGGGACCTTATGGTGAACTGATAGAGATGTAAACTCTTTCTGCCAGATTGTTTAAGCAGGAAAAAGAAAAAGAAAAGAAAAAGAAAAAGAAAAAAACCCAAATGCACTTAATTAACATCTGATGTGTAGTTTTTGCAAACACAAATGCGATATTTGTGTTTGAGCACTGGCAGTAATGACTGTGAACTATGCTATTAATGTCTGGTTTAAAGATGCTTGTGGTAGGACCACGTCTGGAATAACACAAATAAAAACCTGCATTCAGACAAAACAATAGTGAAGAGCCCATTAGAACAACGAGAATGCAGCACTCAGAGGAAACATGCGTCCTGCTTTTCCCCTTTAGGTCAAAATTATCCTCAAAAATAGTTCTCAGTGGCATCATCGTCAACCAATTTAAAGGTAGAAAGATTCTCTGTATTTTCCTCCACTGGGAGAGTTTCGTGTTAGCGGCTCAGAAGTTGCTTAGGGGTGCCTTAGACTTCCTGCTCATCATACTGAGCTCCTCCTCGGCAGCTAGTAGTCACACGTGTGTGAGGAGAGAGCTGGGTGGTGTTCTGGGAAACCTGGCATCTTCATACCAGAAGAGAGAACTTCACCGTGGTGGATTCCTGTCCAATGTGAATAAACAGAGATTCTCATGGACCAACGTGCAACTCCCTCAGTAAGTATGTTTTACTGAAAACCTGCTGAGTGTCCGGAGCCTGGAGCAGCTGGGTATAAAAACATGAAGAAGGTGAAAGTAAGATAAAACCCAGCCTCGAGATGGTCTCTGCTTCACGGTAACAAAGAGAGCAGGCACCCGGCCTGGAACTTGGGTTCCACAATACGGACAGTCATTACACCGAGCAAAGAGGCACCGTTACATGTGGGGACTTGAACTTTTTTGGAACACGTACTAATGAGAAGCCACAGCTGAGACAAGACATTTAGTGACAAAAGCCATAAAATTCACACATAATTGCTCAGTCCCATGCTCCCATGGCCGGAAGTGTGCAGGGCTCTGATGCGTGTGGTCAGAGCTGGGAGTGGTACCCGGGGATCTGGATTCAAGTTCCACCTCCTCAGGACACTGCCTTTGCTCCGCTGTTTCTCTGCAAAATGCTTACCATATTTCCCCGCTCTGCGAGGAATTGTGAACCTCAATTTCTCAGCTTTGAACCTTTCAGAATAGCGAAGATTCAGAGAGGGAATTACAGCAGTAGGTACACATGAACGTCGTCATGGAAGGAAGCCAGCCCAGGTGAGGCCAGCTCAGGTGACCTGCTTGTTCCCGAATTTTCCATAGTGGACTGGAGTCCTCCATCCACCCAACACCCAAGTCCTTCCTGTGCCCATCGCAGGTCCGCATTCAATTACACGTTCAGACTTTCACCTCCCATCATCCAGAGTGGATGTTTAGTCAAACAGAGAATCATGGGAATAGGTTCCTTAAAACTTAACAGACTCCTTCTGAAACAGGAAAGCGATTTTTCAGAGACTAAGTAAAAGTTTTGATGTGGAGTAAATCGCATTATTCAATGTCAAGGAAAGTGGCTGATGATGCTACGCTTCTGATCTGCAGGGAGAGAAGAGGCAGGGGCAGCTCTCAGGAACCCATTTAAATAGCTAAACAGAAGTCCCCGACTCCAAGATGTGCCGATTACCTCCATCCGTGATTCCCAAAACAGCAAATGAAGCTGTGTAGTTCAAAGAATAGTCCCTGTATTTTTAAACAATGATGCATATAGTATATGCAGGCCATTCATATAACATATCAGCCAGCAGTGTTTAAATTATCCCATAAATGTTTAGGGTTTTTAAATATATATGTATAAAGTATTTATTTATAGATCTGAAAGTATCAACTATTACTGCTTTGCCCTAACTTATGTTCCCCCACGAGCTGGCCAACTACAAACTTTTAAAAGGAATTCGGTTAAAAGATTTTGTCTGTTTGGCACTGGCTGGGAGCGCTAGTCATTTCTGAGCTCACTTTTTTACTCTCCTGTTTATAATATTCTTAGGGAACTTCAAAACAGAAACCTGCTCCCTCATAGATCTGCTTCCTCTGGGGGACTGCACAGATTAATTTGTCACTGGAAAGTTAACTGTAAGTGTTCAGTTGATAGCACCAATCATCCTATTTAATTCTTTTTTAGGAAGAGAAATAAACAGCAACAATGTGTTGAGGCTTTTCTGTTTTGATGGGAGAAGTGGAAAGATTTGTTGAGAAACACTGACATAACTAAAGAAAGTTAGAAAAATATATAAAGCCATTATATTTTAAAATAAGGGAAATCACCACCACTGTTGAGAACTAAATGCACTGAAAAATTAGATGAGTAGGAAACCAAGATGGCGGCATAAGGTAAACACCTGTATGTGCTGCCTCTCACAACCACACCAAAACTACAACTAAAGGACAAAACGACTATCGCCCAGAACCATGGGGAAGTTGGCTGAGAAGAAGTTCTCTACAACTAGAAGGAAAGAAAAAGGTGCGTTGAAACCGGGTAGGAGGTTCAGAGGTGCAGAAAAGCAGAAGTACGGAGACATGTGAATCGGGCTGGCTACTGAGTGCACTGTTTTTTCCAATTGGAAGGGAGATACAAGCTTTCAACTGCTCTGAACTCCAGTTTCTGGCGAGACTCTGGAGACCCGGAGTCTTACAGGGAGAAACTGGTGGCTTTCTCACAGAGGTGCTCAGAGGAATCATTGTTTACTGCTCGGGGGTGTGGAACTAGGGGACGTGGAAATGCAGAGATGCAGAGATGGCTGACTGGCAGGCATTGCTGTTTGCCACATCCTGGTGATTTCCTGAGACCCCACCCCACCCAATTTATAAACCCACCCAAACTGTGCACAGCAGCTTTTGCAAATGAATGGCCTGCCCTTTCACAGCTTAACCTAACAACTTGCAGCTGGGTTAGACAGCTCCAAAACTCCCAAACCCTAAGCAACAAGGAGAAATCTGCAGATGTCTCCGTAGCACCTGCTGGGTAGCCTCAGACAGTAGCTGATTTGCACCCCATTGGAGATCTAGGAGCCAGTGTACCAAGTGGTCAGTGTGAGACAATGCTAGATTTCAACTCCTCACATCCATAAGTGACACACACAAGAGGCAGACTCAGTGAGCACCAAAGCCCCACTGAAGCAAGTCCAGCCCCATAAGGGTGTCTCCAGCACAGCAGTTCTTCCATTATAGACACAGCTCATTCTCACAGACAATTGGCCTGGAGGTCAATTACTCCCAGTGTACTAACAGCAATCAAGGCTTAACTACAACAAGACTGTGCTCTTGATGTGTGTCCTGGACTCACTTCCAAAGCTTTAACCCTCCGGTAGCACCTTTACCAGTACCAGTGCCTTTGATGACATCTTTACCAGTATCAAAATTGCCTTCAAAATATCATCTTTAAACATTTTTGTGCCAATTTTGAACATTTGGTCTTTAACTCAGATATGCTTTTCAAATCAGGTTAGAGTTCTTCCCAAATACGAACCCATGCATTCTCACAGCACTGCAAAAATGAGAACTGGGTTTTTCAAGTGTTTGCCTAACATAACGCTCAAGCCAGCTCTGCTGTATTCTGATACCAGGAACTGTCTCCAGTCGCAGCCCACTAGCTGTAACCGCACTATCTGGCATGGGCTGACTAGTGTGTGGTGCAATTCCTTCAGCCTCCAGTGAGACTCGAATTAGAATCCAGGAACTAGACTTCTGAGAATTAAGTCACAGAACTTACACTTCTACACTTGTGAGACAAATCGTGGGAAAATATGTTAGGTTCAAATTGGCAGGGAGTGATCCGTTTCTTCCTTTTTCCATAACTACAGACCGAACCACACTTATAATCACTTTTTTTATATACCTCCTCTGCAGAAAGGGGAAAAAGGCCCTTTAGTATTGCATTTGGTACTTAAAAGACATTATTTCAACTTCACAGTCTTATGAGGGAGGTGCAGATATTGTGTCCATTTCACAAATATGGGAACTGAGGCTTAAGGAACTCTCAGAGGTCACACGGCCAGTAAAAAGCTGGGCAGGATTCCAGCAGCCTCAAAGCCATGATTTTTCTGCTGCATCAACTATGGACACCCTTCATTTGAATTCTGAGAGCAGAATTCTGTACCAGGGATCCATAAGCAGAGGCCTTTGTATGACTGGGCAGAGCTGTGTCATGAGGAAATGTGTTTCTCATGCCTGCCCATCTCTTGGGTAGCCAATATTTTTATAACAGCTAAGATATTAACTGACTACCAAAACGTTGCCTAACATGGTTGAATTTGTGACCCCCTACAGAAGATATCCTATCTAATAAAAGAGTAATATGCAAATTGACCATCACTCCAACACACAAGATGGCTGCCCCCGTGTGGACACAAGATAGCCATCACAAGATGGCCAACAGGGGAGGGTAGTTGGGAGGGACTAAACCTGCAAGGGAGGGCAGTTGGGGGTGATCAAGCCTACAGGAGAGAGCAGTTAGGGGGACCAGGCCTGCAGTGGAGGGCAGTTGTGGGGGACCAGGCCTGTAGGGGAGGACAGTTAGTGGGAACCAGGCCTTTAGGGGAAGGCAGTTAGGGGCAATCAGGCTGTCAGGGGAGCAATTAGGCATCAATCAGCCTGGCAAGGGAGTGGTTAGGGGATGATTAAGCTGGCAGGCAGAAGCAGTTAGGGCAATCAGGAAGGCTGGCAGGTGAGCAGTTGGGAGCCAGCAGTCCTGGATTGTGAGAAGGATGTCCTACCGGGATTGGGCCTAATCAGGCAGTCGGACATCTCTCGAGGAGTCCCAGATTGGAGAGGGTGCAGCCTGGGTTAAAGGACACACACCCCCGTGCACAAATTTCATACACTATGCCTCTAGTTTGAGAATAAAAGAATTAAGATTCAAGTAAATGGAAGCAGGATGGTGAAGTACAGGGAACAGGGATGGAATTTGGGGGGAGATAAGCCCTGCACATGGGGCAGAGCTGGGGCAGCAAACAGGCGAGAACCATGAGACCCTGGGGCAGGGAGAACGCCATACCTGTCTCGGGTGCTGCTCGCTCTGTTCCAGAAGCCCGGTGTCTAGAGAAGGCTCCCCAGCTGCCCCAGAACTGATTTCCAGCTGCACACATCAGTTTGGCACACTAGTTGGTCAAGTTCAGACTTTCCTACCAGCTGCAAGTAACCTGGACCAGGTCCCTGCCTCTCCTTCCCCCCCCCCCATCCCGCCCCCACCCACTGTGTCCCCATCACCCCCGGGCCCAGCAGCAGGCCTCCAGGCCCCTACCCCAGAGTCGGGAGTGACACCATTCTCGTTACCATGGGCAGGCTGCAGGGCTCATCATGTATCTCCGAACAGCCCTCTAAGGGACTTGCATCTCGTATCTGAGGAGGGCTGCGAGCCTCTCTGGTCGGCTATGGAGAGACAGCTGAGAGCCAGAGCAGAGAGCCCCTGACCCAGTCCACTAGGGGCCTCACTGGGACTGACACTATGCGGGAGGGACCAAGTCAAGAGCATCTCAGGAGTCGATCGTCAAGTTTAAAAACAACGGCAAACAAAGCCAAACTACGAACCTGTTAAGCCACATCTTCGGGCAGGTGCCGCTCCCAGGTCGGGTTCAAGGGCACCAAGGTCCCTCCTCGCGAACCAGCCCAGCTGCTTCCTTCTCTGGACCAGAGGGCGCTTCTGGGGCAGGTCGGCCTCGCCGAAGAGAAACACGCTGCTGCCCGGGACGCTCAGGACGAGGGTCTCAGCCAGGCCTGTGGCGGCGGGAGGTGTTAACAGAAATAAATTAAAATCGGGCCCAATGGAAGGAAACCAAGCACACAATTGTTTTAGAGTGGTAACACGCACTTAACACATCATCTGCCATTTCGACCATTTCTCAGGGTGAAAATCAGTGACATAAAGTACATTCCCATCACAGAGTAACTATCACCATAAAAGCCTACAATGCAGACTCATTTTTTAAAATCAAAGCTTGAAGATAATTTATTTTTCCGTGAAGGAGGAGTCTAGTAATAAAAGTTTGTCTTTGTGCAAGGAGGCTAGAATTTCTGAGCCATTACAAATATTCGTCACTAAGATGAATGAAATTGGTGCCTTCAGGTCTTGAACAATTTTCTGACCGCCTCAAATTGTTAGGAGAGATCAAAAGATCACCAGGGCCAGATCTGCACTGTCCAGTATGGTAACCCCTGCCTATGTGTGCTATTACCTTTTAATTTTAATCAATTGAAATAAAATATAATTAGCCTGGCTGGTAAGGCTCAGTGGTTGAGCGTCGACCTATGAACCAGGAGGTCACAGTTCGATTCCCGGTCAGGGCTTGTTCCCCAGTGGGAGGAAGCCTATCCATGATGCTCTCTCATCAATGATGTCCCCCTTCCTCTCTGAAGTCAATAAAAATACATTTTTAAAAAAGAAATACAATTAAAAATTAAGTCTTTCAGCTGCACTAGCCACCTGTCAAAGGCTCCATATCCGCACACGGTAAGCCGTCTCCTTATTGAGCCTCGCAGACAGCAAACATTCCCGTCGCCACAGGAAGTTCTGTGGGACAGGACCTGGCCAGATGTTCCATAAAGAAGCCCAATATTTTTTTTTTATATTTTATTGATTTTTCACAGAGAGGAGGAGAGAGGGATAGAGAGCTAGAAATGTCGATAAGAGAGAAACATCAACCAGCTGCCTCTTGCACAACCCCTACCGGGGATGTGCCTGCAACCAAGGTACATGCCCTTGACCGGAATTGAACCTGGGACCTTTCAGTCCACAGACCGACGCTCTACCACTGAGCCAAACCGGTTTCGGCAAGAAGCCCAATATTTAAGCATAACTTTATGGAAGGGACTCTGAGTGACAATATTTTTGCATCTTCTCTGTCCCTTCTTTATACCTAGATCCTGTCTATGCCTTTGCCTTCTCAAGGCAGATTAGAGAACTAGCCTGCCTGTCCAGAGAACTGCTACCGAGAGCTGTTTGCAGCCAACAGCACGTTCTCATGGGGCTCCTTACAATCCCAGAGGACAACGAAGGCAGGCACTCTTGTCTGGTGTGTGATATGCAGGGGAGGAGGGAATTCTGGGGGTGGCCTGGACAGCAGGGGTGTGGGCCTTCTTTACTGGAGGTGAATCATGGCACACCGGGGGCTAGGGCAGGGCCTCCTGTCACATAAGCAGAGGAAACCTCTCCAGCTGCAGTGTTAGGGTCTGTACCTTGTTTGTTTCTGATGCGGACGGCCATGTGGATGGGAGGGGGCAGAAGAAAGGGGAGAACGTTTTGGAAAGTTGTCAGAGGTTAAGATGCCTCCACATCCCAAATCTCCTAGTTGTTCAGATCAATGACATCCGCTCCAACCATAACTTTGACCCACACTTTGGCTGCTACAGCTTAAAACACAAACTGTGATGCCCCGATGATATGATCTTTGGAACTTGCTTTAGAATACTTCAGTAAAACCAAAGGAAAACAGAGGAAGATAAAAAAGAGAAAAATAAAGGAAGAAAAAGGAAACCAGAAGAAACTGCCCCATAGAATAGATGGAGAGCCTGAGATTAGATAAGCCAAGGAGGGCATCCAGCAGGCCTGTGCGCATGCTCAGTAGATGCCGGCCTCTCCCTCTGGCAAGCCTGCCCCACTGGTCTGCGTTCTGACACGCTGGAGCCACCTCCCTGGGCCAGCATGTTCCTGTGCCTAGAGATCCCTGTCTTCTCCACAAACTCACAGTGGAAGGAATCAACCTTCATTCCCATTCTCGAATGCAGAAAATAAAGTATTTCATTCCTCTCATGCAACGAAAAGACAACCAAAACCAAATTGGTATTTAGTAACAAAATCAGTGCACGATCCTCTTCAGGTTCAAGGAGAGAACATTTACGTTTCCATTGACTGCAACCTGGGGGCCTGGCAGGGAGGTGTTTGCACTTTTGCTGAAAGGAAAATGTAGATTGCCTGCATCTCAAAGAAATGTCTCAAATTGAGTCAGACTACTCACCAACAATCTATTTTATGTGTGATAGGTTCCATGTTCGGAAGAGCTTGTTTCAATGTTATCACTTTATTTTCACAATTAATCTATGCAACAATCATCCCATGTAATTGCAAATGCTCACATAAAGCAAACAAATGGGCTTCCTAAAGGGATAAACATTCTGAACACTCCAAGCTCAGGCCTGTGGGCAACGGAGCCCCTCAGCCTTAGGGTCAGCGGCTCTGCTGCTAAAAGCCACAGTCCTGCGTGTGTCTGCTGTAAGGCCATCTCCCCTTTCTCTGGGGGAGCCCAGCACCCCCAGAGCAGGGACTGGAAGCGTTTACAACGATCAGCAAGAAGCCAGAATGACTGGACTAATCCCTGCTTCCTGATCCCGCTCCTCTCCACTGAAACTCATTTCTCCTCGTTGTGCTCCTGGAGGATTTTACAGCTTCTGTTGTCAGATCTCATCTACTGGCCTGGCATAATTAATTGTGGACTTTTGCCTCTACGTCTAGGTTTCGAGCTCCCTGAACAATTAAGGTTTGCTAAGTTGAATGAATGAAATTTGGGTCCTGAGCACTTTGCAGATGTTGGACACTGCAAACCTGAAATAGCCCTGTCGTCCCCCTCACCCCACTCTGCCCCCAACCTACAAATGAGAGGAAGGGATCAGCTAATAAAATGCGAACCGGGTTTAACACCAGGCGAGTCAATGAAACCCTAGGGTCAATCATCTACGGTTGGCATTGCGTCTTACGTGCTGTTCTCAGAACAGAAGTCCCCTCTGCGGCTGGCAAAGCCACTGTATGGGGCTCCCTGGGCCCGTCAGCACTGCCAGACGCGACAAGCATCCGGATAGGCTGGTGATGGAAGAGCCGGATGCCATCAGGCGCTCTCCAAGCAGGCAGAGTGGAACCCTTCGGCTTCCCAAATGGCTCTTTATTAAGAGAATATTTTTTAGTTTTTCTTCCATGCCTTGACAAGTTGTCCTCACCACCATTATTAATAGTTCTGATCTTTCTATTTTCACTAGACATATTCCAAAAAGGCTGACTTGATGACAGTACTTTTAAAATATATTTTTATTGATTTGAAAGAAGGAGGAGAGACAGAAAATCAATGATGGGAGAGTCATTGATTGGCTGCCTCCTGCACACCCCCTAGTGGGGGTCAAGCCTGCAACCCGGGCCTGTGCCCTGACCAGGAAACAAGCCATGACCTCCTGGTTCACAGTGGACTGAGCCACATGGCCAGAATGATGATAGTATTTTAAATATATATTTTAACCTTCATGATTGGCTGACCTTATTGACTCAAAAATGATTTTTAGCCATTTCTGTACAGGTATATTTATCATGTTCTGCCTTATCTTTAGAGACTTCTATGAGCTTGGTTATCCCTCTTTGCAAAAGGAGGATCAATGCACCGAGACGCTTCTCTATGTGACAAGAAGTTTAAGGCTTCACTTTGTGAATAAATGTTTTCTCTAAGTCTATAACAGACATAAGTGTGACCAGGATGTAGGATTTTATTGAGAATATACACTAGTTAAAGCAGTTTGTGAAGAAGTATTGAAGAACCTGCTGAGTGAAATGCATGTGCCACATACCTCGTGTCTGCAGTGGTATTTAATACCCTTTTCCCTTCTGCTTTTGTTCTTTCAGGAGCAACGTAGGATCGATGGTATAAATGGAGTTGGAATTTAACTGTTAAACAGAACTGCTTTTCAGCAGCTCCAGGAACATAACGGAGAAGCGAACTTTTGTTACATTTTTCCACGGCAGCCAAAATGCACAACTTAGAAAAAAACCAACAAATCTGTCATTCCCTTTCCTCTGGAACAGAAAAATTCCCTTTCCTCTTGCCCACACACAATAAAAATGTGTGGCTCCTTTATTTTAAAGCAGAACTCTAATAATACTCAGAAGAGTATCAGATCTTTCCCTAAGCGCCTAGCAATGAAAGGAGTCTTTTCCCACCCGTCACCTCAGACTCAGTAGCAAGCAGAGGTAAAAAAGCACAGAATCTAAAAATTAACCTGGTGCTAGACTTGGAATCTTTCAAGCATCCTCTAATTTTAGTAGAGTTCTCTTAATATAGCCAAGTTTTTTGTTTAGCTGATTTTTTTTTATTTAGTATTTTTTAATGAGAAGGGGGGGAAAAAGATTCTCTCCCAGAAGCCACACAAATCTCTCAGATGGTAAAACAGATAGCCCGAATAGTCTTTGCCTAGATTCACACGCGTCCCTACAATACAACTAGCTTCTTCATCTCGCTCCAACCCTCTGAAAACACAGCGCAGCGCTGGGGCGCGGCCCTGCCTCTAGTTAGTCTAAGGAAGGGGGCGGTGGACACGCCTCCCTTTGCGATTCAAAATTATTTGAGAGACAGAGCCTTTCTTTCCCAATGTCTTCATTAAACAGGGCTGCTGAGAACCGTCTCCTGCCCGCCCCAGAGAGCAGAAATGCTACCCAGCATTCACCCCATATGCTCAGCTTTGAAGTGTGAGGCTGTGACCATCCCACCAGTCTCCCAAGCCACCATCAAAGCCATCTCATTAGCCCAGCGCTGCGAGTTACAGCGCGGGCCCTAACCGCTCCAACACAAACACTGCATTAGCAAGGCGACCGCAATCTTCCTCCCCCACGTGGCTGCAGCTTGCAGAAATCTTTCCCATATGGACCCATGCACGAGATATGAAAATGTATTGTGCTAGAACATGGAGAAGGACGTCCAACATGCGGACTAGAGCTGGATGTTATTCTAAGGGACTGGGAGTAATAG